TCATTGTGAAGCTATATTATTATATTATTATTACAATTACATAATACAATTCTATATTGTATTATGAAATACAATGAAACATTAAGTTTTTGTACAGAGTATCGGTATCGGATCAGTATCGTCGATGCCAGCCTGGATTTTACTTGGTATCGGATCAGAAAGGAAATCAGTGGTATCGCACATCACTACCGAACAGAGGCAGCAATATAACATAGCTAACATTAACAGTGCAGTGAATCCTGCTTGTGCCGTGACATTCAGGCCTGCAAACCAAGCAGCATTCACTGACTTTCAGCTTGTTGTGTTTGTGGATATATTACTGACTTTAATTATGCATAAAATCATCACATTCTCTGTAAGATTAAGGTCGACTGTAAGACTGGCTTGCTGTTCTAATCAATCATCGATATAGCAGGACGGAGGGTGATAAAGAGAAACCTCATCGGTTAAAAGACCGCCTATGAGCAAATGATTAATTCAGACAAAAATCTCCAGGCAGACAGTGAAATTGTATTCTGTTTACATTTGTAAATTACTTGACTTGATTTGGTCTCTGAGGTGAATGTCTGCATACCTATGATGTCAAGTCTGTATGTGGCCAATGTTGTTGCTGCATTTCTGTTTGTGCAGTTGTAGTTTTTATTGGATATAAACTATTCTAGGATTTGCTACTGTCACAGCTCCATCTGATCAGCTGATCAGGAACAGGTAATCACTGTTATTGTATCAGCAACTGTATATTGATCTGTGTCTAGCCAGTAATTCTTACTGCTCTGCCCCTCACCATGGTGACCTATTTGTGTACCTGAGCAGAGGAGGATGTGTGAGGAACAGACGGTGTCTCTGGTTGATGTTCTGGAGGAAGACGAGGAGCTAGAGGAAGAAGCTTCAGCTGTGCTGGCAGGAAGTGACTCTGACCACTGCTCCTATCCTCAGGTGAGTAAAACATCTGGCAAAACATCCCCACTAAGGTTGGGCATATGTAAAAATTTTCCAGCCGACAATCTTCAGTCCAAATAGGTGATATATTTGCGGAGACTTTTTGCTGGGTGGTGCAATATAATCATTCACGGTAGGGCTGCCACAAATGATTATTTTGATAATCGACTAGTCACTGATTATTTTCGCTATTAGTCGACTAATCAGATCATGCATCCATTGGACGTAAAATGTACATCTTGTTGCACCAACATGCATCTGTTCTTATATAAATATAATTAGCTTACAGCTTGAAGTGTGTAAGGTATGTGCTAACCAAAAATAATGACAAGATAGTAGTTTATCAAACTTTTAATAATATTTGTAGATTGCCTTGGTGGAGTTTAATAAACTCAGCCTTCTGCTCCTTGCTATCTAAAGTATAACTGGACACTGTAGTAAATTCTCTACCATCTCACATTTCTGTTTAATCAGTTTTCTGTTTGACGTTTATTCAGCTGTGTGAAAACTATAACTTTAATCTTAGCCAAATGAACAAATAGGAACAAATAAAGCACTGAAAAAAGCCAAACAATAACATTTTAAAGTTATCTGAGTGACTTATATATCGTGTTTAGCCTGAGTAGCAAAAGACCGTGGGGGTTTGAAAACAATGTGCCGGGAGTTTGCTGTTCTCGCCGGCTCTAGTGAGCCTTGAATCTCCTGGCTAACTATCAAGCTGGTGGGTAACAGATGTCTCCGAAAATGTCGGAGCACTTTTGCAAATAAGTGATGTCCTGATAAATCAACCAGATATTTTAAGTTTACACACCTATATTCTCACCTGAAAATAACTTAAGTTTATTTTGTGAGCCAGAAAGACTAATATTAAAACTAAGTGGCTGGGCCGCGCTATGGATTCTGGAATAGATTGGGCCACGAAGGACACACCCGACCCATCCTTCAAATCTAGCGAAAGGGGGGCCTCATTTGGAGGAGTCTCGTCGTGTCGCTGTAATGTAATTGGCCTATAGAGATTGAAAATGTGACATCATTCAGGGGTAAAACCGCAAAGGATTCTGGGAACTCGTGGCAAGAGGTACTAGCGCACGCAGGCTTTCAATTGAAATCAGTTACACAGCGATAAAAAGAAACACAAAAAATGGCAAGAAGCTGTTGTATTATTAACTGCAATAGCCGGTCGCATGACAGCCACGGGAAGCCAACGGGTAAAGAGATTGGTTGTTATCGGATTACGTCGTTGAAGAGAAATTGTTCAAGTCATGTTTCCGAAGTAACAAAGAGCCGACGGATGGCCTGGATTGCAGCCATTCGAAGACCAAATACAACGTCCCAGAACACTCCAGCTCACATGTTAGTCTGCTCCAAGCATTTCCACAAAGGTCAGTCTTCTGTTGTAGTTAATACGTCATTTTTCATAATATAATTGGTGATATAGGTTACAAGCAAGTCTGTCGCTGAACAGAAATTGTCGCGCTATGCTCCTTTGTTTATTGTGCATAAATAGTGAATTGTCCTGACAGAATATTGCGTTTTGCTTCTGTTATTACCATGGTACATTGACAAAAATATATACTTTTATTTACAGGATAAAACAGTTGTTTTGTATCACTAATTGCCCAGTACGATTACAGCATACAATATTATTGTCACTGCTACATTTTTGTAACGTATACCAGAAATTATTTCCACTACTAATTAATTACCGTTGGGCTCAAAGGTCCTATTAATAAACTGTTAACAAATGTGTATTTATGAAGACGATTTGTGAGACTGGTAAACTTATGATACGTACGATGGTCTTTCGTTCTACACGGTGCATTTCAAGGTCCTGTACCCATCCTTCGGTAAACTGTACCTGGGTTTGTTGCAGTGACCTGAAGTTACTAAAAACTTCACGAGTGTATGCACTCACTCCAAGAACCGTATAATTATAAATATGAGCGTGGTGAAAGTTGGGCAGCACGCTAACGTCTTTTGTCCACTCTGTGTGCTCGTAAGGGTCTAACCCTTTCACTCCTTTGATTTTTTCCTCGTATCTTTTCTTTGACTTTTCATCAAGTCTGTCTTTGTACGGACCGGCATTGTTCTCCTTCGTTTTGTACATACCTTTTTGGGGGCCAAAGAAAAAGCAAGAATGTATTGGAACGGGAGAATGAACGTTTCGTGGTGCTGCAAATGCTTGCATTTGATGCGGTACTTGGATTGTTTTGCCACGAGTTCCCGGCATGCAATGCGCAAAAGTCACGTGGTCTGTCAATCTCTATAAGTGCCACCTCCGAAGATTGTGGCCCCTGAATTTGGACACAAATACCGGAATTTGGACATACGATACCGAAGACTGCTGCTGCTTCTTCTTCTTCTTTGGCGTTTAATGGCAGCTGGCATCCTTGTAGATGGACTGCTGCCATCTTCTGTCCGTTATTACACTCTTAAATCCTACTACTTATTCCTGCGTCTTTTAGGATATTACCAAGCTTCAAACGACGCCTCGACTATTAAATAACCTGTAAACATGGTTATAGTTTCTCCTTGTTTCCCTCCCCATCACTGTGGTTTTTTTTTTTTAAATGTAAATAAAGTGTTTGGGGCTTTTTTCTGAACATAGGCTACTTGCCTTTCTTTCTTTCTGTTATGAGTTTCAGTAAATGAATTGCTGCATTTGCATCTGCAGCTGGAAGAGGGTGCTGTTAAAAACAGCCATTACTTTTCAGTTAACTGCTTCTCTTAGCTTCAACCAATATTATTAGCAAATTTACTCATGGGCAAATAAATAAATAAATCTCTCTTTTAAAAATGATCGATGATAGGGTCAGTCTATCATCTACTGCTGATTATGGGTTTGAGGGTAAAGGTTTGATGCATTCTCAATCATCCAGGTAAGTAAATCTCCAAAAGTTGATTCTGTTCATCTGGACGCTACGTCCAGATGAACAGAATCAACTTTTGAAGAGGGTAAAGGTTAAATAGAAAAATAGAATTCAAACATAGCCTGTGTACAGATCTGATTTGAAGTCAGCAGGTACAGTGTAGGTGTTCTGTTTTAGGATCAGATATAAATTAATTAATGAACAATGAAACTGTTCGAAAATTGTTTGCTGCTAACAGAGAAAATTAAAATAAAAAATAGAGTTCCATCTATTATTTATTATCTATTTACTGATGCTCATTAGAAAAACACAAAGACGTTACATAATATATAAAAAGCTTAGGAATCTTCTAGCAATAGTGATGCTATTTTCCAGAGATCCAATCGGTCAGTAAGTGGTGATGTCATAGCTGTTAATCTCTAATCTGTAAATTAGCATCTGTAAATACGTAAGTTTAAAAAAAGAAAAAAGTAAAAGTTGGTTCAACTTAAGAATAAGTGAACCATCTTTATAGTACAGAAGATTCAGGGTTATCTCTGAAGTTACCTGGACTGGAATAAATCCTTCCTTGTAGTGCAGACCTCAGGTGACCAGACATAAGAAATAGTATGATGCTCTGATTCATGGTGATGAAAGAAAAAAAAAAAAAACAAGGGAGAGGGTGAAAAAGGAGAAGAGAGAGATGATGAACTCAAAGGTCGTGTCCAAATTCATGGGCTGCATCCTCCTGAGGCCGCATTTGTAGACCGATTACGTCACAGCGACGCGCCGAAGGCTGTCCAAATTCGTAGACTCCTCCAAATGCAGCCGACAAATGCGTCCTCCTTTTCCCCGAATTTGAAGGATGGGTCGGGTGTGTCCTTCTTGGCCCACCATATCCCAGAATTCATAGCGCGGCCCAGCCAAGCTCCAGTTTCCGGCAATGGCGGCCGCTACTAAGTTTTAAAATTACTCTTATTAATCTTTCTGGGCCACAAAATAAACTTTAAACATATTTTCAGGCGAGAATGTGGGTTAGCTCGTTGATAATTAAAAATGAACACAAAAAACGGAGAAAGATTTCGGGTCCATTTTCGATTTTCGTGCTGTGGCGCTGACAACCGGAAATACTCTGAATTAAGGGCGGGAGTAGATCGAGAAGGCTAGACCGTCCAATTCCATAGCCGTTTACTTCCGGCCTACCCGACCTCCTGAGGACCCGGCCCACGTAGACCGCGAAGGCCGGGTCCTCAGGAGGATGCAGCCCATGAATTTGGACACGACCAAAGTCTCTTCTTGAAGGTGGAGTCATTGTTTAGGGTGGAGCTGTTCATGTGTCGAAAACAAACTCGGGTCAAACAGCCAATCAGCTTCTGATGGGCTCTGAGCCAGGTTACCTTGACACCACCTGATATTTACAGGCCCTGTCTCGTAACTCAGAGAGCAGTGATTAGTGGACACGTAGTGTTGCTGTTCATTGATCAAGGTTACAAAGTGTGATCAGACTGATGATCAGGTGTTACCTTGGAAACAGGAAACACAAACTAGGGCTGCTCGATTATGGCAAAAATGATCATCACAATTATTTTCACTGAAATTGAGATCTCGATTATTTGACGATATTTATTTAACAATAACAATGTATTGAATAATGACTTTAAAGATTGTCAAAAAATAATATAAAATAGTGTGCAAATACTGATAACAGTGCAAATGTTTGCAATATAAAAAATAAATGAAAAATGTAAACATCTATGTTTAGTGAAGTTTGCAGTGTTGCTCTGTGGTGCAGCTACGACACCGTAGCAAAGTTTACACACTATGTCTACTTGATCCACGTCTGACTTCGCGAACCCATAGTGTTTCCACACCACTGAAGTTTTTTTACCTCTCTTTTCAACCAACGGCAGTCACTCTCCTCTCCAAATAACTTCTGCTTAGCTTTCCGAGCTTCCCTCGGGTCCTCTTAATTGTTGTGACACGTGTTCGAAATGCAGAGAGGTGCGCTCGATTTGCCACATGGAGCAGTGCGAGAGTAAAGCACGAGGGAGGGGCTAATAATCAGCTCAGTCATTTTTAATGATCGTTGAAAGCCCAGATCGTAATCGAGATTAAAATTCGATTAATTGAGCAGCCCTAACACAAACACTGTTTGTGTGTGTGTGTGTGTGTGTGTGTGTCTCTCTCTCTCTCTCTCAGGGCTATGTGAAGCGGCAAGCTCTGTATGCCTGTAACACCTGCACGCCAAAGGGCAGCGAGGCGGCCGGCATCTGTTTGGCGTGCTCCTACAAATGTCACGAAGGTCATGACCTCTTTGAACTGTACACTAAGAGGTGATCAATGCTTTTATTGATAAGTTAGTCACAGACCAGAAACTACTGGTCAGTTTCTGCAGTTACCAGTACACACGGTGACGTGGTCAATACAACTGTCTCTTATTCTGGTGCAGGAACTTCCGCTGTGACTGTGGAAACGGGAAGTTCTCGGAGCTGCAGTGTAAACTCCATCCGGTGAGTCTTTGTTGACCTGAGTCACTAGCAGGAGGTACCTCAGAGCACAGACATTTGTGTTTACCTGACAGATCACCATGATAACTGATGCTGATCACTTGGTTGGGAGCGTGTCTGATTCTGTGTGTGTGTGTGTGTGTGTGTGTGTGTGTGTGTGTGTGTGTGTTCCAGGACAAAGATGAGGTAAACAGTCTGAATAAATACAGTCAGAATTTCTTTGGAGTTTACTGCACCTGCGGCCGACCGTACCCAGACCCAGAGGATCAGGTAACCTCTCTCACCTGAGAAATCAGACCACTACTGACCCTCATACACAGATCTATAACCCAGTATGAGCATGTTTCAGTGACCTAAGGCTTTTGCACACCAAACGCAAATCCATGTGAATATTTCGCTTGTTGAAAATATTGTTTGGACTCGTACTTTTTTTACCCCCTTTTTTTCACGTAAATAAATGGGTCTGACCAATCAGACCATTTGGAAACCACTGCTATTATAGCTGGATCAAACTAGAAGTGTTGCTGTCTGCTCCTGAAATTCAGATAAACCATGCTTCATGTCCACTTCATTTCTTTCATAGTCCATTCTTTTAAAGGGAAAACTTTTCCAAAAAACGCAACACCTTAAGTGTGTACATGTGTCACATGAGAAATTCAAATCCAAAAAATAATTTTTGTCATTTTTTTTTCTCAGCGCAGTCGGTTTTAAAGGCCTTTTTGAGTCATTTAGAAATAAAGACTGTTAATGACATAAAGAAGAAGGAAGTGCCTCGGTGGAGAATGAGAGAATAATGTCTGGTGATAAACTTCACCCTGATGATGTCCTTCTTCACAAAACCTTAACCCATCCTCAGAGAGTAAAACAAATCAGTACTTTACTAATCTGGGCCTGTTCCAGGAAGCAGGTTCAGCAAACTCTGAGTTTAAAAATACATTCCGAGTTTCATTTTCAGAACTTGATCAGAGTCAATTAACAACTGGCTATGCCGACTCTTGAGTTACGCATGTGTGTGAGTAGAAACAGCCATCATCAATGAATCCCTCAAATGATTCACTATGGTAAAGGATAAATAGAGAGCAGAGCTGCGATTTCAATCCAGCAGACAAAGGAATGTGAACATGTGTCAGTGCTGACTCATATTTATTTATAAAAACAGGATGGGGAAAAAAGGGTCATTTTAATCAGTTTGGGCAACTCTGTCATCATATCAGTGGAACAAAGTTTGTTTATAAAATATATAATTTTATTATAATGTCCTTGTTCATTAATTTGACCTTAACATTTTGAGGTTTTATTAGATGAGCGTGAATCCTAACTTTACATCTGGTTTTAAATCAAATAATTAAACTGTAATGTGACAGATCACTGATGTACCTGTGAGATTAGTTACGCATGGCAATAGACTACAGAGTGGATCTGCCCTCAAGTCTGTTTATGCCCATTTCATTATTTCAGTAATTCCAACAATAATAGTAACGCTAATAAAGAGTTACATTATTTCTGCCATTATTAGATAAAAATGCTTTAAAAATTCTTCAAACGCAAATGAAACTGACTAAAGAGAGGTTGTTCAGGTGCTCCTGGGCTAATCAGATTTTTCAGTCGACATTCTCCAGAATGTCGACTGAAAAATCTGATTAGCCCAAGTGCCTATATTGATCCGTAGAACAGTCCCATTTAGACATGAGTCCACGGTTAGTGATCAGAATGGTCGATTTGTTCTGGTGACAGGCCATATTCATGCAACCCATGTTACTTTATTGAATTTATATGGTCCTAATTTTGATAGCCCAGCTTTCTTTCGACAAATATTTTATTTATTACCTAGTCTCGCTGATACTCATGTAATTTTAGGAGGCGATTTTAATTCTGTACTTGATAAACACTTGGATAGATCTACTCAAACCTCCCAGTTGTTTAACGCTTCGACTGTTCTGAATAATATGTTGAGTTCTACTAACCTAGTTGATGTTTGGAGACTGTGTAACCCTACTGGTAGAGATTACTCTTATTTTTCACAAGTGCACAAATTGTACTCCAGAATAGATTATTTTTTGCTTGATTCTAAATTGATGTCTAACGTTGTATGCTCAACTTATCACATCTTGATCTCGGATCACTCTCCAACCTCTTTAGTCCTGGACTTCTGTGGTACGAAACAACAGGGTAACTGGCATTTTCACCCGTCACTCCTGTCTGTGACATCCTTTTGCCAATTTATGACAACGAAAATATCAGAATTCTTGGAAACTAATGATAATCGAGACGTTTCTGATTCGATTGTATGGGAAACCTTTAAACTGGTAATGCAAGGAGAAATTATTTCTTTTGAATCTTCGTTAAAAAAAGAACGCCGGAAACGCCTGTTAGAAATAGAAACTGAATTAACACAGTTAGAACAGGACCACAAGGCCTCCTCTTGTCCCGCTTTGTTTCAAGACATCATTAAAAGGAAGTTTGAGTATAACACAATTTTATCTAGTCAAGTAACAGATCAGCTATTTAGGATCAGACAGAAGCATTTTGAGTTTGGAGATAAGCCCCATAGGCTTCTTTCTCAGCAGCTGAGAGGTCTACAGGCCAGTAGGGCTATACACAATTAAGTTAAGATCAGGCGAAATTTTAATCAGCCCTAAAGCTATTAATGAGCAATTTAGAGAATATTATGAAGATTATGTCGAAATCTTGGGGCAATATTTCTGATTGGTTAGGGAAGCTGGATCTCCCGAAAATGAATGACGCTGCACGAGAGGCTTTAAACTCGGATATTACTATTGAAGAAGTTTCGAAAGCTATTAAGTCATTCCCCCATGGAAAGTCCCCAGGCTCAGATGGGTTTGGCATTGAATTGTATAAAAAATACTCTGAAAACGTGGCCCCGCTTTTATTAAGAATGTTTAAGCATTCTTTCCATACTCAAGCATTTCCCCGTATGCTATATAAAGCTAATATTTCTTTGTTATTGAAAGAAGGAAAGGATGAAACAGAATGTTCCTCTCATCGACCTATTGCTTTGTTGAATTTGGATATGAAAATTTTCACTAAAATTTCGTCACTCAAAATAAGCGTCACACTCGCGGAAGCCGGTGTACCCGCCAAAACGCCGTGCATTTACTGAGACTTTCAGCCCCAGATAGGCCAATTATGGATCTTTGGATCCACATTATGTCAGCAGCTCCACCGCGAACCATGTTAAAAGCAAATACTGCTCACGCCTCACAGATGACAGCTTACAGTCCTGCGTAAAGATGAAAGTGACTTCACTGTGCGGTTCAGGAGCAGAAGTTCCATTGTAAACATATCACGGCAGACCCGACGATGTTTCCATGAACATGCTTTTCAGCATCTCTTTATTGACCACTTTTCACACACGGTTGCTGTACACATACAGCCGGCTGTAGCTTTTCAGCTCACAGCCCGACAACACAACAGCAAAGAGAGCACAGACTTTAAGGCGGCGAGGCGTGATTGCGGGTGCCGCTCAGGTGCGTCCGACTCCCATGCAGTGGCACTGCAGACTAGGGGTGGGTTTTGGTAATGGGATGGTCTGGGTTATACAATTAATTGGCAGAAGAGTGAGTTTGTGGCTTTAACTGCAAACTTGGATGTTGATTTTTTTTTGAAAATTTTGCCTTTTAAAATTACAGACAGATTGAAATACTTGGGTGTTATTTTGCCTAAGGATCCTAAATTGATCTTTAAGTTGAATTATCTTGAACAAGTTGAAAAATTGAAAAAAGACATTGAGAAATGAAGGGCTCTTCCTATTTCCATGGTAGGTCGCATTAATGTAATCAAAATGGTTTCCCTTCCTAAATTTCTATATTTGTTTTTAAACTTACCTGTTTTTTTGAATAAGCAATTTTTTAAAGTGATCGACTCAGTAGTATTACCATTTGTTTGGCGCTTTAAAACTGACAGGATATCAAAAGTTTATCTCTGTAAGTCTAAACTTAAGGGTGGATTTGGTCTGCCACTGTTTCAGTTTTATTATTGGGCTGCAAATGCTAGAACTCTTGCTAGGCAGGAAGGGTACAAAAAGGTCATGTCTGCTGATACCCCACCCCTGGGTGGTCATAGAGAGTGGTGGGGTTGAGAATAGTTTCCTCCCTGCTCTTCATTTTTCGTCCTCTAATCCGCAAACCAAGGTCAATAATTTTATAGTTTCGAACTGCGTTAAAATCTTTAGTCAGATCAAAAAAGGTTGTGCTCTACCAGACACTTCGATCCATACTCCAATATATTGTAATCATACATTTCCACCCTCATGTTTAGATGCCTCTTTTGAGGTCTGGACACAGAAAGGTATTGTTACTCTCAAAGACTTATATATTGACAGGCAGTTTGCATCATTAACTCAGTTGCAGAACAAGTTCTCTCTCCCTGCGTCACATTTTTTTCATTACTTACAGATAAGAAACTATGTTCGTCAGAGTATCCTTAATTTTCCATCTCTTCCGGAAGAGGGGTCAATTTTTACACTCCTTCTGAGTTCCCTGGATTCTAAAAAGTTGGTTTCTGGTTTTGTGAAAGCTTTTTCAGAGTATTTAAATTTTAAGTCTGACTTTTTGAAGATGGCATGGGAGGAGGAGCTTAGTTTGCAAATTGGAGATGAGGTGTGGGAGAGGAGTCTGTGTAGGATCCATTCTTGCTCTATAAATGCAAGGCATCAGTTAATTCAATTCAAAGTGCTTCACAGACTTCATTATTCAAAAACTAAACTTCACAGGATTTTTCCTCCTATTAGTCCGACATGTGATCGTTGTAAACTTGGAGAAGGCTCACTCTCACTCATTTATTTTGGACTTGCCCCAAATTGCATAACTATTGGTTGGACATTTTTAAATGTTTTGCTGATATCTATAATTGCACATTAGAGCTGGACCCAATAACTGCATTGTTTGGATCTTCCTCTTCCCTTTTACACCTCAGCTCTGCTGCACAAACTACAGTTTTGTTCGGAATGGTAATTGCTAAGAAAATTATCTTGACTCTCTGGAAGTCGGATATTGTGCCTCAATTCAAAATGTGGCTGACAGAACTGACTGCTCTACTGCATATGGAGAGAATTAGGTACACATTGGCAGACAAACTTAGTAATTTCTTTAATGTGTGGAAGCCATTTTTAGATCATGTATTAAAACAAAGTCCTGTTTGATCGATCGGCAATAATTCAGCCTACCACCTTAGCATTTTATTTCTGTTTATTGCCAGTGTTGAAGTAGTATTTTTGTCGTTGCAGTGTAATCTTTTGCCTTATTTGTGTG